AACTCCTGTTCACGTGTACCTAGAGCGTTGATACTCGGTAGGGGTACGGGGCACAGGATGGGAACACTCATGGCAGGTCGTAGGACCGCGCTCTTCCTACAGGGAGCGGGGCATGCGCGAAATATATGGTTGGGCGAGAATTCATAACTCCTGCCCCGTGGACCAGAAGAGTTCAAATTTGGTAGAATTACAGCTTTTCTTATTAACAGTGGAACCTCGACATTTTAAAAAGTGAAGTAGAATATAAAGAAATCGTAGGTAATCGGAGACAGGAACCGATGATAACTGACAGAAGAAGATAAGAGGTCTAAGAGAGCAAGAGCCACCTACCGACCAACCTAAAATATAAATGCCTTCGGTATTCACGATGAAGCTTTGACTGTTCAATATGTTTAATTCGATAATACGGGATGGTAGAAAAGGAAGACAAAAAGGAGTGGTGAAAACAGTGATAGGGTCCCATTAGTGGCACTACGATAGAACAGATACAGATAAAAATTTTTTCATTTCTTGCGATTAGATTACGACCGCTACCCAGCAAGGTTTGTGACTCAATGTAGGATCCCCTTTGTTCGATATCAAGTGCGACGAAACTTAACCGACCGCTAATTATCTGGAATTCTCAACTAATGTTACCTCGGTAAAGAAAAAAGTCTACGATAACGACATCTGAAATTATGTTATCATCACTCGAAACATTACCGCACAAGGCTTTGTTAATCTAACAGGTGAATCACTGTTAGGAGCAGAAGATCGAGTCTTTCAATTGAAGGCATTAACACCGACTTACACTCAGTTCTGCTCCGTTAGTCCTGTTCAAACTTAGTGAACAAGAAAATACTATTTGCTTCAAAGGAGTGGTGACTTAGCCGATTACTACTACTTTGACGAAGAAGTAGGGAAGCCCGTCGTTACCCGGGCGAACCGACTGGTTTATTATAACTCAACCGCTCTATTTGTCAAAGTTTCGAGCAAACCATCGCCTTCAAGACCCTGATAATAATCGAACTCTCTGTTCTGTGAATTTATAGTCCATTCGCTCAGACGGATGACGAACGGAAGTAGTAACAACTCTCGCAAACTCGTTACGTTAAAAGATCCCAGCGAAGCAAAATCTACTGCGCTTCCGCCCCTTTGACGTCTCACTCGATTGCGTGAACAGCAAGAGATCGATGAGATACCATTAATGACCGCCAGAAAAGAACCATGAGGTCATCTCATAGAGGCCCACAAAAGGGAATGACTGGCAACAGTTCACTTGTTATGGCCATGCACACGATTTCGGTTGTTCAGCTTGGTATTTTTCGCGCAGATGTAACGCTTCCAGTACCTATCCGCACCGACTCATTCTTGTAAACTAGGATTTTGAATTCGATGCGATAAAGCATTACATACCCGAGGAATGAAAATGAAAGTATGCGATATAGTTTAACACTCGTAATTCTTGGATGGAATCAAGTCTGCGAGGAATTAGCAGCTAGTTCGTAATAATCAATCGTTGGATACTGGCAGCGAGATGTAAGCTGTTATTAACCACCACACACAGTACCCTCAAGTGCAACCAAGCTCTTTCTGCGTGTCGACAAAAGTCCTTGTCGGCTGCGAACTGGAAACGAACTAATTTTGAAAATGAACCATTTGGCTGATGCAGGAACCAGAGTATATCGCCATTTTTAGAAAAGTAGACGGCCAAAAAATAACGCATGAACAACAGAGCGCCACAGAGTACGGTACAGAAGAGAGCGAAAAAAGAAAGGAACAAAAAAACGAAAATGGCCGCTGCCCTCGAAGGCTTAAGTTACATAGCTGTTTTCTGTCATTTCTCACTGATTTCTACCACTTTCTTTTATCATAATCGCCCTTTTAAGCCATCACCCCATATAAGTATTTTGTTTTCCAAATAGAAATGCTTGAATAAGTTGGTAAGAAAACCAATAGTGGAATCACTTTAGTGCTTATTTAGTGCGCACATTATACAACACAAAAAAATTATTATGAGATCTGCAACAGGGGCAACGAATACTGGAAGAACGAGAGAACGAAAATGAATAGAAAAAACATTCGTTGTGAGGGTTTTTAAGAGGGAGAAGGAAGCGACGCAGCTTCGACGGTTGCGTTCTCGACAAGTTTTTCTTGACTTCTTCAAGTAGAAGTTTCCATTCGTTGAAGAGAGAT